CTGAAGAAGTCTCTTGGAGGAGAGACGAAACGTTTCATTAGAGAAGAACCCGTCCAGAAGACCTATACTATTTTTTATTTATTTTTTATTTTATTCATGTTAAATAAATGCTTTGTTTTGATCGTTTACACGTTTATCAGGCGTGAAGGAGCTGATAAAAGCTCACCTTCTGCAGGTACTGATCCATCACCAGTCGGGTCGCTCTCACTTTGGCTGTCTTGTACATTTTGGTCCCGATGACTTTTCCCAGAACCCACTTGGCGTGGACTGATGCTTTTTTGACCGACATCCTGCACAACTTTACTGAACGCTGCAGGAGGAAATACATTAGTGAATGCATTTAACACAAATGTTACACGAAGTAGAACCGTGACACTTTCCGTTCCTGAATTTGAAATAAATATAATCACAAATTCAAGCTTTAAAACGCTTTTTGTCCGATAATGAGAACGGCTGCATTCAATAAGGCAGATAGCATTAGCGCTATATGGAAACAACTTTTAGCAAAAGATTTCATAACAGCTAAAATTAACTTTTACATTAATAAAGATTGCCGGGGCGGGGAGGAAGTAAGAATAAATACTCACTGAAACACAGCTATAAGTATAGTGAAGAAGGTCAAAACCAGAAACAGCAGGYCTCCATGCGTTTCCCGTCTTCTTCTATTTTTTGCAGGAACGTCTTGACTCTTTAGCGCCGCCTGCAGGACTGGAAACGAACTGGAAATGTACCTTCAAATTCACAGAAACATGAAAACTTCGCCATAAAGATGTTTTTCAAAATATATTTGAAGACATACACTCCTGATAAAAARGTGCAAGAATTTGCATTTTGCACTRTTGGATCTTAAGAAGGTTCTAAGTAGAGCTTCACAATGTTAAAAGAAGAAATCAGTGCAAGAGACAAGAACTTTTGAGTAGGGAATTTTCTGAAAACTGCATTTACAGTCAAACATGATTTTTTTTTTTCAGCTGATAAAAGTTTAAGACCATAGCTCAAAAACCCTGAAAACTCCCCAAAACAGAAACCAAAGTGTCAACAAAAGGACTCAGTAATGAGTAGCTCCACCATTCTTGTTGATGACTTCAAACAATGTTTTAGGCATGCTTGATGCCAGTGTTTCCAGGAGGCTAGTGGGAACGTTGCTCCAAGTGTTGAAGATGGCTTCACGAAGGGCATCCACTGTCTGGAACTGATGTCCATTTTTGTAAACTTCCCTTGCCATCCGTCCCCAAATGTTCTCAGTTGGGTTTAGATCCGGGGAACATGCAGGATGGTCCAAAAGAGTGATGTTATTCTCTTGGAAGAACTCCTTTGTCAGGCGGGCATTGTGAACTGCAGCATTGTCCTGTTGAAAAACCCAATCATTACCACACAGACGAGGGCCCTCAGTCATGAGGGATGCCYGCTGCAACATCTCCACATAGCCAGCTGCTGTTTGATGCCCCTGCACAACCTGAAGCTCCATTGTTCCATTGAAGGAAAACACACCCCAAATCATGATGGCGCCCCCACCACTGTGCCGTGTAGAAAACATCTCAGGTGGGATCTCCTTGTCATGCCAGTAACGTTGGAAGCCATCAGGACCATCAAGGTTAAATTTGTTCTCATCAGAGAAGACAACTTTCTTCCACCTTTCAATGTCCCATGTTTGGTGCACCCTTGCAAAGTCCAAACGGGCAATTTTGTGGCGTTGAAGAAGACGTGGCCTTTGAAGACGTTTTTTGTTTCTGAAGCTCTTCTCTCACAGATGCCGTCTGATGGTTATTGGGCTGCAGTCAGCACCAGTAATGGCCTTAATTTGGGTAGTGGATCGTCCCGTGTCTTGACGGACAGCCAATCGGATCCTGCGGCTCAGAGCTGGTGAAGTTTTTTGGGTCTACCACTTGACTTTTTTGTTCCATAACCCTCAGGATCATTTAAAAAATGCAAAATGACTGTCTTACTGCGTCCAACTTCAGCAGCGATGGCACGTTGTGAGAGGCCTTGCTTATGCAGCTCAACAATCCTACCACGTTCAAAGTCAGTGAGCTTTTTTACTTTTGCCWTCAGGAGGTCTTGACAGTGTRAAGACTTGACAGAAAATGACATGGAATCCAGATTTTTGCACAGCTTTTGGCTTTTAAAGACTATGGTCTTAAACTTTTGATCAGCTGAAAAAATCATGTTTGAGTGTAAATGCAGTTTTCAGAAAATTCCCTGCTCAAAAGTTCTTGTCTCTTGCACTGATTTCTTCTTTTAACATTGTGAAGCTCTACTTAGAACCTTCTTAAGATCCAGTAGTGCAAAATGCAAATTCTTACACTTTTTTGACTTTTCTTAAGATTTTGATCAGGAGTGTATTTCTATTTAAAAGCATTGTTTCTTTGTATAAGATCATTTAAACTAAGGTGTAGTATTATTTCAGGTTTTGGCCTGTTTTCTGTTAGCAGACTATATTAGTTTAGCCGCATTCTTTCTTTTTCTTTTTCTTTTTAGTTCTGCTTATAGCCTAAAAACAAAAAAAAAATATTTCAGATAGGTCTAATACTAAATCTTTCCTTCTGGATATATCGTCTTGCTTGATTTACACTTATAATAATATTTTCTTTATTTTGGGTGTATTTACAATATGCTTCTAATGTTCCCTGTGTGGAAATCTTACTTTAGAATCCAATTTCACATTACAATAAAGTTGTATMTATTTTTATTCCTGTTTTTTTACTGTAAGTTTTATTTCTTCAGATTTTACTTATTTTAAATTGGCTAGTCAAATACCTAATGCTGTATAATATTTAAGTTGTATTATTTATTTATTTATTTATTGTTTTACTGTTTTGATTCTTCAAGGGAATCTATAATCCAAGTCAATAAAGGCTTTAAAATACATATATTTACACTAAGACTTTTAAGGGTCAGTTAATTTCGTTTGAACAAAGATTTTGAAATGTTGAGTACGGTCACAAGATGGCAGCAACTCTTATGAAGAACGTCTGAAGGCAAAACCTCGAGGGAAGATACAAAACTTGTGTATCTTCTGAAGCAAAATTCAATTTCTGAACATTAAAAATCCCTCAAAGACATTTATAGGAACAACATCATTGTAAAGTCCACCAAAACTTACATCTTTGTGATACTGAGTGTGAACCAAAAATGTTGTATGTATGAATTTAATAAATCATGTTTATGACCTGAACCCTCATCAATCAAACCACACCACCTGTTGCAGTATGTGTTGTGAATGACTCCCAGTTAAATTTGGTTGAAAATTTGCAAAAACTGGCTGKTTGTAGCCAGTTGACAGCATTCGTCGAGAGTTGGTTTTGCTCCAAAAGTTAATCTGTTGTAGACGTGCATCTAAGGATTATTTCCTGAAAGTTTTATTTAAATAAGTGTTGTGGTTCATGAGAAATGTTGCWAAGAAAACAAAATGGCTCAGCTAATGATAAATGTAGTTTACTGTATTTTATGTRATAGGAGTAGTCACAGGTAAGCAGAACATCAGAAACATGTTCAGGTCTGAATCTGAAGTTAAACGCTGATGATTTAAGAGGAGCACATTAACCTTCACTACTAAACAAAGAGTGTTAACAGATTCCAGGTCATTTGGCAAAATATATATATACATCAACTGAGCAAACTGGAAATTTAACCTGATAATGGAGATAAATAAAAAAAGTTTGGATGCCACAAAAGCTCATAGCTACAAATGTGTATCAGTGTGAACAAATGTGTTCAGACTGATCAGTAAAACTCAAATTTTCAGCTGGACMGATGAGCATGGCTGAAGGTAACTGAGCAAAAATTACAATTCAATCACTCCACCRTCCATCCTAGAGCCCCTCAGGACCCCTGATAAGACTGATCTGATGCATACAGTACGTCTGAAAGGTGGATGCACTCRTACCTCGATGTTAACACTCTCGTCCCTGAGCAGGAATCAGCTGTGGCTGGGAACCAAGAGCAGGCAGACCAGTCTGGTCTTAATCAGAGCCATGCTGTAGTAAAGCCCAGGTCTTGGTTTCTGTTTACCATTTAAGGCAGTGCAGCTTTGGGTTACCTCGGCCAGAATTACAGCATCAGCCAGCGTTTGTCTGCTTCATTCAAGAACATTGAGACACTTTGTGTAATTTTGTCTGTACATGCTGTCTYATGTTGTCTAACAAAAAATAAATAAAATTTTATATATTCTGTTTTTTTAATTGATCTCTAAATCCTACAGGCACACGTCGCATTTTATCAAGTTCACGTTAATATTTACTCAGAGATAATCAGCTTCATGCCTTGACGCAGTGTTTATATCTGCGACACGCTGAGTTATCAGCTCTGAATCGTGTGAGAGCTGTGATAGAACACAGAGGCCTGTGTGTGTACACATGTATGTTTTCTATGATAACACAGTGACCTCCTAATCTGCAGCTTTTATATTTTCAGATTAGAAAGCTGGAACGGTGTCGACCTACATTCTCTGCTGCAAGATGATTTTCTGCAGATGTGAAATTTGTCGAYAGATTGCTCACCGCTAAAGATGATCCAGTTAGGCCTTTAGTATTAGCTAAATATCACGAACTGGATGGATGTAATGAAACTATAAGAACACAATCAATGGATGGTCATCTAGCTCTGAATAACTTYTGGAATCAACCTGAGYCAATWTGGCCACATTAAACAAACAGAACAAGTCTCAGTCAAATTTAAATACATTGCTGAAAATCATCCCCAACACATAATCTGAATTATTAACTGATGGCATCAACCCTGTATGTCCAACTGGATGGATTTTAATGAAACTTTCAGAAAGTATACACACAATTTGTCTGGCCCAATCCAGGCCCACACAATGCAACCCTAACTCTGTAACACTCAGCCCAGGTAGAGCAAAGAATGATGGCCCAGATGTTGTTTGAGGTGGTTCATGCATGAGCCAGTGCCACAAAAAAAAACAAAAAAAAAAAAAACACAACTGGGCCAGTTGTGGCACTGCATCTTAAAACCAGTGTCGTCATTGCCATATCTGGTCCATATTCTGTTGACAACCATGCCAGCTGGGCCAGTTTAACACYAGATCTGGCCCACATCACACCTGCTATGTGGGTAATACTCAAAACACATTAATATTATTTAAAGTGTAGGGTTTTGAGTTTATTTTATGGGGGGTGCCTTTTGTAAAGTTACACAGTCAAAAGTTACCACCAATATTTTTGTTTTATTTAGCCTTTTATAAGAAAAAAAAGAACAGATTTATTTTTTAAAGTCAGTTTTTCACCATATGATTCATACATTTATAAATGTCATAGTTTATAAACTAAATATATAACTTACAAATTAAATATTTAGTTAATAAGCTAAAAATTATAAATGTATGAATCATATGGTGAAAAACTGACTTTGAAAAATAAATCTGTTCTTTTTTTCTTATAAAAAGGCTAAATAAAACAAAAATTATTTATGGTAAATTTTGACTGTGTAACTTTACAAATGGCATCCCATATTTTTTCTTTGTGCTTTTATTATATTCATGTGTATTTATATTCATCTCATGATGCTCCTCAGCTGTTTGGTTTGTTCCTCCATGYCTTTGAGTGTTTTCTGCTGCACCATTAGCATTTTTGTTTGTAAAAAATTAAAGCATTTTGTTACATTTTTGAGTCTTGCCTGCTTGGGTCAAACCTGCAACATAAAGCTAATAAAATTCAACATGGCCRCCACAGCAAATCAACCTTAGGAAAGGAAAAAAAAGGCAGCACTGTAAGTTTTACAGGGACTGATCTAAAATCTGGTGTGGTAGCTGTGAGTCCATCCCAACACAAACTCAGTGCACTAACAAATYGTCCAACATTTTCAAACTGTTTTACTT